ATAAAAAAACATGGGCAGGTATTCTCAGTCATTAGTAGGTTAGTTTAGAAAGAGTGAAGCTGTGTTGTTGAAGTAGATAAATCTGATTCCGTTTGGTTTTCCTGTTTGCAAACGCAACCTCACGGTCCCCATTAATCTCCAGCAGGCTGATTATTGAAAGTTTAAAGCAAACCCCATAAGATATCGTATTGCGATATATTGCATGGTTAAGATAGGGCTATGTCTTGTCGTGTCGGACAGAAGGAGTTTCAATAATCCGGCCACAGAGGTTGATTAGCGTTCAATAGAACTGTTAGGCATTCATATTTACCCGCACAAGTCATCGTGTAATTCAAACGGAGTCCAACAACAACAACCGCTTGTGATTAGGTAATTCCATTTAAAAACGGTCCCAAATAGTTAACTTCGACAACGCAGCTTCATTTCTTGTATGCTGTCCCATTTTCATGCACATGGTCTCACTCAGTATTTTCATGCATACATATCTCAAAAAACTTACCTTCTGGAGTCCTGATGCGACACCATGGAAATTGAGCTGCACTTGTAGGAATTGAATCAGTACTAATAAAAAAACACGAACACTCAAGGCGAGGACATTGAGGACAGTTGCAGGGCGGCTCACCACCAACAACATTGACATTTGAAATCCAGATCCTGCTTTCGAGGTAGCAGAACTTCAGGATAGATTTGGATTGGAGGCATTTCTTACTTCATAGAAATTAGTAAACTTCACAATAGTATTACATTTTTATTTACTGCCATTTCCCTTTGAATTATAGGCAAACTAAAGACTCACAATCAGTGCACTGCTACACGCGATTTCAGCTTGAAAACATATAAGTAACCGTTCGATGTCGTTCAAATTTGCATGCAAATGCATGCAACCCATGCTTCTGGTGAATTCTTATCAGTATTCATTTGGGATTGGGAACCACTCATTGCCACTATATGTTTACATTTTGTTTCGATATATATCGATATGTACTGGGTGTTCAAAAAGTAGTAGTTTCTTGGCAGGGATCTTCATTGGCAGCTTCACGGACGTTATCATGGCTCCGTCTTATCTACAAAGTTGGAGAGTAAACAAAAGCACCATTGCCATATTTACGTATTTACTTTTGGTATTACCTTGGTTATACCACCAGGTGTCGCTAGCTGTTAAACCGTCAAATTTTGAGGTTAGGAATTTGTTTACCTCCACAAGGAAAAATGTGGCCAAGACGAATTTTGGAGTATTCATTATCCCCAGTTATTTTTTGTGAATTAAAGTCGTTCTGAAATAAGTGAAGCAAAATTAGCAGCCTATAATATCATATAATTAACATCAAGTCAAAAGTCACTTCATAAATCAGCGCTCTGAGTTTCCTGTTAACAACTTTCCATCTGTTACCGAACTTCTCCACGATCGGAACATGTTTCCCACCAGTACTCAAAGGAAGTCATGGATGTTTTCTGATGAGAAGGACCTCACTCGCCTTCGTGAAGCAGCAAATCGAAAATTCATCGCTCAACACAGGAAGAATATGACAGACGAAGAGTGCGCCCAATACTTCTTGAGCGCCCCCGAGGAAAGTACTTTGATTAAACGCTACGAATATCACATGAGGGAGTTTTGTCGTCGCTTTGTTCCTCCAATGCCCAGGACTGTAGCCGGCACTGCATTCCATTACCTGAAGCGGTTTTATGTGAAAAATTCTGTCATGGACTATCATCCAAAAGAAATTTTAGTAACTTGCGTGTATCTAGCTTGCAAAGTGGAAGAATTTAACGTATCAATTGAACAATTTGTTAGCAACATCAAAGGTGATACTAGCAAAGCTTCTAATATTATTCTAAATAATGAACTATTATTAATGCAGCAACTGAACTATAATTTAACAATTCACAACCCATTTCGTCCTGTTGAGGGCTTTATCATAGACTTAAAAACACGTAGTAATTTACATAACCCTGACAATCTTAGGACTGGCATAGATGAGGCACTGGATCAGCTATTTCTAACTGATGCCTGCTTACTTTATGCCCCATCTCAATTAGCACTTGCTGCCACTCTACATTCTGCCAGGAAAAATAAGGAAAATCTTGACTCTTATGTTACTGAGACACTTTTAGGACCTAATGCTGAGAAAGAATTGAGTGATTTAATAGAAATTGTTCGAAAAATTCGCTCTTTATTAGTAAAACAGCTTGAAACACCGTCCAACCAACAAATTAAGATAATTGAAAAAAAATTGGAAGCTTGTAGAAATCAGGAAAATAATCCAGAAAGTGAGATTTATAAACGAAAAATGCAGGACCTTTTAGACGATGAGGAAGAATTCCAAGCAAAAAAATATGCTAAACTATTGAAGGAACAAGCTCGCAAGGAAACAAAAATTATCGGAATTAACAGGATTATATCACCATCAGCCTAATATTATCCTTCGAATTAATTCAAATTTCATCATTTTTATAATTTCTGCAACTATTTTCTTTCCCCTACTAATAATATGTGTTCCCTTTAAGTTTTTTTGCTTCATTCCAAGCTTTCAAAAAACTATGAAAGGACCTTTAAGTGCCATCAAAGTGGAAAACCATTTTGTTATCTTCTAACAACCATATACCAACATTTACCTCTTAAGCAATTTTATTTTAATTTTTCTCTTAGTGTATATGCTGAATAAATTAATATTTAATATGAATTTTCTCTAACGTATAGATTCTAATTTCTGTCCAAGTCCTGCGAGGTTCTTTGCAAAATCCCTCATTTTGTAGGTATCAATGCACTGACTTACAGAAATGTACCAAGTCACATAAAGTTTCAACAGAGATTAAGAGGTTTGAAGTTTTATTCCTCCATAAGACTTAAGTGTCAATGACAAAAATCAACAACTAAGTAATTTCATGTTCAAAATGTTTCCTCTTGACTCTGAATTTTTAACAGGAGAAAATGTATGGCCAGTTGAATTCAAAACTCTTCTCAGCTTATTTTTTTCCTAAATAGATGTATTTCTGCCAAACAGAACTATGTGCATTAGGATGTGAGCCCTCTTATGCATATTTCATCATGGGTCTCAGGTCTCATGTCTTAATGCATTTCTGCAGTTTGGCAGAAATACGTCCAAATAAGACCTTGTGCGTCACTGTTAAAGTCGGTCCATACACTGGGACATTAAGATGACATTCTAAATATTCGTGCTCAGAATATATGTTGAGTCATTTTCAATGGATGTTGTTGCTCTCCACATTTCTGTTACAAATTGCAAATTTCAGAATTTAACTATTCATTTGTTTTTAAGATTATAGAATTTCATCCCTATTCAATAATACAAGTATTTTCAATCACTTTAATATAAGAAACTTAACAAAGATTTGGTCAGATTTTATCATTTCATATGATTCACATTGATGAAAATTGCATCGTTGCATTCTTTTAATTTTACAAAGTAAAGATGATACCTAATTTTTTTATTTTATGAGTTGCAATCTAAAATTTTACACATTTTGGGGAAAAATAGTACCTACACATTGCGCAGATCAAATACAAATATTCGATGCAAATAAAATACTCCCTGGGTAAAAAATTATTTCTTCATATTTTTTTTTCTTTCAGTAAATGTATTTTTATTTTGCAGGGTTACAGAAATGATGCCATAGTTTTCAAGAATACGAGCAAAACATTTAATATGCAGGCATGAAATTTTAAATGAAAAAAAAAAAATCTGACCGAGAGGGGCAACTAGAGATTTAAGACGGGAGAGAAATAAGTTTACTTCACATAATGATGTCTTGCTCTGAAAGTGGCTTGTCCATCCTATAACATAAATGGTAAATAAAAGAAAACCTCACAGAGTAACTAAAATTTAGTCAAATGAAATAAGTGATTCATGGGCTGGCATTTGTAGCAGGCATCATTTAACATTTTATTAGTTGACCCCCATTCACGGACCAAAGCAAAAATTGACTTCTCCTGCTTTGAAAGTTTTTTACAAATTGAAGAATTGCCGCATTACGTTAAATTTGGGGCGAATGTCATTCAGATGAAAACGTTAAAATTCTTCGCTTCTCTTAATTAATACAAATCGAATTTTGTTCCTTCGTTATATACATAAGGCTTTTTTAGCCAGTGGCATAGTATTTAGAATCTAAATCTGCTAAGGAATCTAGGGCTCTTACCTGGAAAATATTAAACTCCTAAGTGAGTCCTGTTTTTAATTTAATTAATTGAGTTTCGTCAGTTTTGCAAGGGAAGACTGTGAGACTAATTTAAACTTAGCGCTCAAAAGATGGCATCGGAGTCATCAGTGTATTATGGTTCTGGATGAGAGAGGGGGGAGGAGGAAAAAAAAACAAAGCAGTTTTCTAGGTTAGAACACGCATCATCTGCATTGCGATTGCGACGTCTCGTCTACTTTCTGAACTCGTGTCATGTTATCGTGAAATCAACGTGATCGTGCAGTGTGAAATTCCTCAAAATGGTTTTGGACTTAGACTTATTCCGTACCGAAAAAGGTGGTGATCCGAACAAAATTCGGAAGAATCAAACGGACCGATTCAAAAGTGTCGAACTTGTTGATACGGTCGTGAATAGTGATAACAAATGGAGACAGTTACGGCATTCGGCGGACAATTTGAACAAATTTAAGAACATTTGCAGTAAGGAAATCGGTAAGCGTATGAAAGAGAAGAAGCTTGAAGCGACTCTTGAAAATTTGACGCTTGAAGATGTGAAGGTGCAGTTTGACCAAGTCTCGGAAAAACTGGTTCCCAGCAATCTGTCTGATTCTGTTGAAGCTCCCATTTTTGAGCTTGACACCGAAACGCAAGATGCAGTCAAGAACTTTTCAGTTGATCAGATTAAAGAAATTAGACTTGTAGTTGACAAGGCGCTGGCATTGAATGGAAAGTATTTGGTTGATGCTGAGAACACCCGTAACGCTGCATTAGGGGAAGTCGGAAACCACCTGCATCCGTCAGTTCCCATCAGTAATGATGAAGATGAAAATGAAATTGTCAGAACGTTTGGTGATTGTGCCGTACGTAAACGCTACTCCCATGTTGATTTAATTTGCATGATTGATGGTATAGATAGCGCTATGGGAGCCGCTGTTGCTGGTGGTCGTGGATATTATTTAAAAGGGGCTGCAGTATTTTTGCAGACGGCCCTAGTTCAGTTAACGCTTTCAAGGTGGCACAGCAATGGCTTTGAAACTATCTACCCTCCCTATTTTATGCGAAAAGAAATAATGCAAGAAGTTGCTCAGTTAGCGCAGTTTGACGAAGAGTTGTATAAAGTAGTCGGTAAAAGTGAAGAAGGAGACGTCCAAGATGATAAATACCTCATTGCCACCTCAGAGCAACCAATTGCAGCTTTGCACAGAGATCAATGGCTTCCTGAGAATTCCCTGCCAATTCAGTATGTTGCTGTCTCCACATGCTTCCGACAGGAAGTTGGCTCGCATGGTCGAGATACAAGAGGTATTTTTCGCGTACATCAATTTGAAAAAGTTGAGCAGTTTGTTTTGACATCTCCTTTTGACAACAAGTCTTGGGAAGCTTTCGACAAAATGATTGGCTTGTCGGAGCAGCTATACAAAGATCTGGGAATCGCTTACCGGATCGTGAACATTGTATCCGGTGCTCTGAATAATGCTGCCTCAAAGAAGTTTGACTTAGAGGCATGGTTTCCTGGTTCAGGCGCTTTTAGGGAACTTGTTTCTTGTAGTAACTGCCTTGATTATCAAGCGCGGCGATTGAAAGTACGTTATGGGCAGACGAAAAAAATGAATGCCAGCGTTGATTATGTTCACATGCTTAACTCAACTGTCTGTGCCACAACACGTGTGATTTGCGCCATTCTAGAAACCTTCCAAACAGAAACTGGAGTCACTGTCCCAGAAATACTTCGGCCATACATGCCAGAGCGATACAAGGAAGAAATCCCCTTCACCAAGCCAGCTCCAATTGATGCGGAAGAAACGAAAAAACAGAAAAAGCAGAAAGAAGGAATGATGAAAAAATAAATGATGTCTGCCTTTTTTCAATGTGAGGATAGTTTTCTCAAGACTTTACGCTTTGTAATTTTAAGTTCTTTTTGAATGAAAGTTGTCAAGAAATGTAATTATTTCACCGTATGTCACCAGTGTGTAATTTGAACTCTGAATCACCAATAGCTCAATGTGTTCTCTTTATTTTGTATGGAAGATCTCTTACAATATTCTTGATAAATTTAGATTTTCCTCCAAACAAGATTCTAACATAATCGGGAAATTTGAATAATCATTGTTCAATGAACTCTCAACAGTTAAATTTGCATAAATGGAATTATTAAGTTAATTTTTAATATCAATTGAACCATTTTTTCAAAAAAATACTAGAAAAATTAGATTAATAGAGATTACATTTCGTGCAATTTAATGGAGGTATCATCAGCAGATTAGGTATTTGTTTATTTTTTTTTTTTTTATGTATTTATTTTGTATCGTCAATAATCGTGTAATTACCCAATTGGATTGATTCTCAGAACTACATTTCACTCCAAGATATACTTTAAAGAATAATTTTTCATGAACATTTCCCTTGCTATGGATGCCTTTATTTTTGCAGAGAATAATTCTGTATTTTGTTACATATTTATATTTTCACTGACAGTTCCAAGGGTGCAAAGAAGTATCTTGCTATCTGCTAACTATGGCAAGTTGGAAGTGAATCTCGAGGTTTTTTTTTTTTTTTTTTTTTTTTTTTTTTTTTTTAAATTATGTTTTTATTTTGCATGTTACTCTGAGGAAGTGTTATTGCCCCACAGTTGGGCTTTTTCTCATGGAAGCAGACACTTGTTCTGGTGAAAAATTGAGGAACTAGCTTCAAGGGACAAAGGCCCAATTGCGGAAATGGTTGTCGGTTTTTAACTTTCTGCATATATGCTCAATTCAACCTCTACATGCTTGAATCTTTGCTGCAAAGACAGAGTTTTTCCAATTTCTTTAAACTGAAGAGAGATTTTGCCGTACTTTCTTTTTAAAATCATCTTTGTAGAGACAAACCACTACACTGTTGTGAACTGTGAAGAAGAGAGACCAGGCAAATAAGAAAATTATTTCAAAGAACCGAACTCTTGCGAGAGTGACACTCATGTTTTTCATCTAGATTGTTTCTTAATCTGCCCAATGATTGTTTTTCGCTGTTTTCATATGCAAGCTTTTCAAAAAAAATTCATATTTCTTTTCATATGTCATTGAATGGAGGATGTAATGGACCAAAAATGTAAAGAGGAAAATTAATTTTATTTTCTTACCAAATTTACTTCTCTTGTGCTAATGTCTCCTAGAGATGGCCTCTCTGTTCGTTGATGTTTTAAATAATTTTTCGCTTGTGAAGCATGAAAAAGAATCGGAAGACTGGAAATCAGCTATCATAAATATAAATGGGAAAAAAAAAAATTAATCAAACTTGTCCGTGTTGTTTGAAATCTAGTTCTTTTGCCCAATCACAAATATTGGGTCATCAAACACTGCCGTAGATCTACTGAGCAATGGCCAGTTAACATTTACTGATAACTTTAAATTGAGCTATTTTACAGAGAATCATGTTCGAAAAACTATCTTATCAATGGCGTTGGATTCCCTCAGTTTTAAGATTTTCACAACTCTTCGAGGAGTTTGAATATTAATTTTGTACTTTATTTATTTTTAGCTTTATTGTTTCTCTTAATAAATAATATTACTAATTGTAATTCTGGTGTTTTCACACCCACTCCTAAAGCAGGTTTATTTACCAGTCATTAGTAATACAGTAGGCAAAAATTTCTCTTGAAAAGGGTGATTTTACTGTCCAAAGCAAGAATGATGCGATTCAATTCCAATTTTTACATTTTTCTTTCATATTAAGCGCTTTATGATATGGAAATTCAATTATAGTGATGCTTCATTTAAAGTTAAGGTCATTATCCTGTGGTACAACACAGTCATTTTGAAAATAGAAAAGGTGAATGTAAACTGATCATCGGTAACTAAAACGATAAGGTAATCAGAGAGTAACGCTAAAAATCTAAAATGGAATTACAGAGTTCTTGCTTTGCACCATAGCAAAATGGAAAAGTTTCTTAGATCAGTGCCATGTAACTTCGAAAGTGACGTCTATTTACTAAGGGTTCTCAACACCATACGAGTTGTCTCTACCAGACATTTTTGCAAAATTTAATAACCCTAGCAGCAGTTGCATGGACAAACTGAATTTAAACCTGTTGAGGAAAAAATGAAATGAAGCAGAGAAAATGAGCAAGACAAAAGACTGTTATGTTGTCACACTCATGACTTGTGAGAAGAAGTTTGTCTCCAATGCACAACACCACCTCATAGAACCTCAAAATCGGAAAAATTATAAATTTAAATACATTTTAGAGAAGGAGAAAGACTCGCAAGAGGAGCTACTGAGTACTTCTGTGCTTTCCATAGGCCCATGGAGTTGGGGAATCACTAGGCTCAATTTTAATTTTCAAAATTTTGGTATTGGTCGATTTTTCATCATGATGAAAATGGATCATCTGCTGAAACAGAAAAATGCGAGTATCTCCTAAACCATTGGTCGCATAGAGCAAAACGGAACTTAATTTCCAGTTCCTCAGCAGTTCTAGAACTTTTTCATGGTGTATGAACCGGGGAAATACGGGATTCACCAGTTAATTAAAGATTTCAGGAATAATCAGGCAGAAATCAAGAATGAGTAGGTACCTACAGAGGGAAGATTAGTCTCTAAACGTTCGAAGAAGGGATTCCCGATTTCAGAAACAAATTCCCTGATTTTTCATTCCCTGATGAGTATTGGACACCATTATGCTCTTAATCAATAATATTACTCGATCATGCAGTGGCAATATCCATCAATTAATTTTTAGTGCCTAATAGTTTTCCCTCATTTCTTGTACCTCAGCTCTAATAACTGGAGCACTGTTAAAAATGTATTTTGTTTTATATCTGCTCAAAAATTACTTTAAAGTGTTTTAGATTCTGTGTAATTTGAAGTAAAGCAACAAAAGGTCCTAATGAGTAGTAAAGAAGATAAAATATTTGCACTGCCAGCAGAGAGAAACGCACCTAGAGTCAGTGGTTAAGATAAAGGAAAATAAAAATGATCTTTACTCCATGTCAGCATTGTAGAGGTTTCCTCCTCGCTGAAAATTAACATTAGATAAGCAAACGCCCAGGGTCGGTAGTTCATCAAAGTAAAACAAGAATTTGTGTGTAACATTCTCATGAAATTTCTTTTATTGAATATTGCATACATTCATGGAGTAAAAAAAGAAAATAATTAGACATTGAAAATTTCACGGACTAGGTACCTATTCTAGATGTGGATGCTTAAAATACATATTTACAAAAAATACCATAGGTTTTCTAAAAATAAATTCTTCATAGACCTTTTTTTACGTACGTACGGTAAACAAATTAATGGTGTAAAAAAATTGTAAGAGGGAAAAATGGAGCATCTGGGTGGTAGGTTAGACAGTTTTGACGCGAAATAAAATCTGCAAGACTTCACAGCTCTTTCCCCCAACTCTATACAGCAGGATAGATAAATGCAGACATCAGATAAGAAACAATACTTGCAGACTGTCCCTGGTTGGCAAATGAGATTATGACAAGAGGATGTTCCTCTGAGTTTCAAATGTTTTAAAAGTTCTTTAATTAAATGCATAGAAGTAGACATTTAGTTGTATGACTATTGAGACATTCAGTTTTCTTGTCCTCTGCAAGCTGATGGTTGAAATTTTATTTTCACCATCGCCCAAGTATAAAGAAAAATGTTAGGTAAGTGTAAATTGTGTGCATACGTCAAGTGGAATCAACAAGAAGCTTAAGTCACCCCTTGAGTTATTGATACTTTACCATCAAATCCACCCAACATAGGCCAACAAAAAGGGCAGCTGACAGAGCTGACCCACCATATAACTACATTCCTCCAGCTGTCGACAAACACAAAATTCCAACGATCAGGCTGCAGGTCTGCATTGTCAACTGTTTCTTTCCTTTTTCATGAATCACCTACAACTTACAGTAAGTCTTATTTTCATATTTACAACAGTACTTTCAACAAAGAATGGAAGAAAGTTACCTTCACATCTATCAATAATACCTATCTAAAATATAAAATTATCTGGAGCACCTTTTAAAAGAAGATAAATCAAGAGGTAAATACAGTCAAACCTCACCAAGTCTGTATGCATTGGGAGTAAGGATTCATGCCAATTTAGTGGGGTTTCTGAGTTAAACGGACTTTGTATTGGTAAAGCCAAAAAACGGGCCCAAGGTATTCATACCATATTAGGAAGCAGGATTCCCGACTTATTGGTGAAATTTGACTGGAATATAATTTGGGGTAGTAATTCGTAGGAACATTGACTTTAAAATACATTTGAATCATTTACCATACAAAAATAACATCCACTTACAGACTTGTTTCGTGAAAGGAAATTCTATTAATGCACAGCTATTTTTGCAATTAACTACACTTACATTCAATGCCTTAGAAATGGGCTCTAGTATGGAACCTCTTGTTTTGAAAAGATTTCTCTTCTAACAGTGGTCAATGACAGTGCTATTGACATCAACTCTTGGAGTCCAATTACTACTGCAGTAACAAAGTTAGTGCCAACGTTGATGCTGGCCAACTTTTGGAGGGGACAGAAGGGACAAATGATTGTGATGTCCTTATTTTCACATTGAAACTAAATGCTAGAATCGAGATTGTAGATTTTCTTCCATCCAATAAAAGTTGGCAGGCGTAATAGACTGTAACTTGAGAGTCTCTTAAGTTGATATGTAAGGAGCTCATTTTCATTGACAACTGTTATTGGAGGTCTGAGCATAAGTAAATTCAATGATAAAATCGTAGGCAAAATACACATAGTTACTGTACAGTATGCTCAAGTTAATGAATGAAACGATATTCCTAGGGAGGTGAAAAAAATTACATTACGTACAATAAAGTGGATTTTTCATTTGTGATGTCCTGTTTCAAGAATATTAATGGAGTTAAAAATACAGCTTTCAGGAATTGGCAGCTTCTTTTTCTTCTTCACTGATTAACTTTCTTAGAAAAAGTCATATTCAACTTGAGTATTCTCGAGTGGCACATAAATGGACGTATTTCTATCAAACGGAGCTATATGCATTATGATGTGAGCCCTGGTTTGCACATATTCTTATGGGTCTCAGGGCTCATGTCTTGATGCACATAGTTCCGTTCGATAGAAATACATCCAAATTTGGAGCATTTAGGTGCTAAAATATGACTTTTAAAAAAATGACAAACGAAGGAAGTCGGAAAAATAAACAAATTTAAAATACGTATATGCATCCAAAATCATTCAACAAAAAAAATTTAAGAATTTTGAATTTAATTTTACTGAAAAATAAACAATAAAAAGAAACAAATGCCTTCATCGTTTTGCTGAGTAAATCCATGGTGAAAATAAAGGGAACTCAGTGTAAACCTGGTAATAAAGTAGTGACAACCGCAGAAACATCCAGCTAAAAAAGGATAACTTAAATAAGGTACGGTTTGATAAAGAATCTTGGCATTTAAGTATCCCGAACAAAAACATGATTCTTCCTGTTGATTTAAATAAATATGTAACAAGTCAAAACTCATAAAACTATATGTACAAACATTCCTAAGAGTGAGGAGATAATTCCCGTTTCATCGCAAAGATGATCAAAATGAAATTTAAAGTGAGCTGAAACATGAGTTGATAACGCATTCCCCGACGTGATATATGTATCCATGATGATTTTCTTCAGCTACTTTAAGAAGCCACTTTGATACAATACACAATTTGGGCGAAATCAAACTTTTCAATCCTTAGATCAAATTAACACAAATTTAAATGCTTAAGTTTCCGTGTGCTTTGATTAATTTTTAAAAATTTGGCATTAGAACATATCACAATGGTAGCTCAAGGTTTCAACCTTCTAAAACTTTCCCATCAACCTGGGCTTTATTTACACAGAGAAGAAACAGTAAACTTCATTATCTAAGAATCAACACAAAATCTAAAACTTAGATGGAAAACAAATTAATCGCAGAGTTGAGCATCAGTCTTAAAATCAGCACATCTCTTCACTGATCGAGGTGGAAACAGTCTGATATGAACCGAGTGAGGGTATGATAGAAATGAGGCCGCACTCCTACTAAGCCATGCTCCTCATCAGGATAGCTCTAAAACAGACAAAACATACAACTCAAGAGAATGAAACGACAAAAAATTAGAAGAGATACAACAGATCGATGGCCAAAGTGCTGAACCACGTATCACCGCTCACAAGATTACAGACCTCCTGTTACATACTTTATTTTTTCATTTATAAAACTATTTAACGTTATTTGCTGGAAACTTCCCTGATTTTTCTTCTCTGTTAGTAGAGCAGTCTCTGTTTTTGATGACTTTCTGAGTCTGATAAGTTTCAAAAATTAAATTTAATACGAGGCAATTTTGAGAGAATCCTGGCTAAGAGGTGAATTTGTTAGCATTTTTAAGATAAAAATGTTGCACCACTATTAGGTCGGATTTTTGGACGAGCTTCTGTTTGCAAGTTCAGGCTGTTAAGTATAGAAGGAAGTTAAGAGTGTGCTGCATGCTGGAAGCATACAGAAGAACTTTGATTCTTTCTGGCCAAGAAATGCAGAAATGTGAGGGCATTTGTCTGTCTAATCTCCTCGGCTGGTGGAAAAAGGAAAGTGATTTTCCATCATAAATAAGCAACATTTTTCCCGGTAAATGAAATAAAAAAACCTTTAAAAATTTATGTTTCAGCCCTCTTTTCAAAATTGGCAGAGAAAGTTCGACTTTCAAAGCCTATAAAGATCAGAAAGATGTTGTAAGGAACATCATACAAAAAAATAATGAAATCTACTTGTCATCAAAGCCCGTTGCATTCTTGAAATTACCTTCACAAAGAAACATTTTTGGAACTTCTTTAAAAGCAAAATTAAATTTTATCAAAGTCATTGAAACTTTTAGAGATTAAATTAGAACAAGCTCATTATTGACAGGTTTGAGTGTAAATACAGATTCTAAGTTTTTACCATTTGCTGGAACATAATATCTTTGAGTTCCAACTGTCGTGATAACATCATTGATTGCTGGAAGTGGACGTTGTCATCGTAGGTGCCATGAATTAAGAGATATTTTTTATTCCTCAAATTTTCAACTTTATTGTTCAGGGAGGCACCGATGTATCCCATTACATTGTCTTCGATGATCGGTAGTCCCATGTACCTCTCTGTATATATTGTGTCTGAAGATAAAAATCACAAAAATTAATCAAAAACCATCTACAGTAGTTAACTATTGCGATCGAATTGCACATTTTCACATTAAGCCATGATCGATACCTACAAATTACATTAAAAACTTGTGGGAGTGATTATTTTTACTATAGATACAAACAATACTAAGATGATTTCTGTCAGATGAATTGTTTTGATGATTCTGAGAAGGTAAATTTGATACCAAAATACATAGCCTCAAGAAATTTTAGCCTGAGAAAGAAATTTTCATGATTAGTGAAGAAACATTTTTCTTGCCAATAAAAAGCCAGAGAGGGAAAATAAATTCTCACTGTTTCTAATTTCCCAAGTACAGTAAAAATTGAGGCTATGGAACGAATAACCACCTATAGCAGAAAACATAGTTTTGAGGAAATCTCATTTGAGGTTTCGATTATGAGATGCGTCGTTGAGTTTGCCCAGTAGGAAAACTGCAAAAACAGTTTTTTGTAATTAGTTGGACCTTTTGAACAATCCAATAGGCGTTTTTGAAAAATATTTCAGTTCTCGCTTAAAAATTGTTGATTTAAAGCATGTTGTTATAGGTGGTTATTCCCCCCAACACCTAGTTTCAAGGTAAAATGGCTGCTTTATTGTTTGAAAAATACAATCAATGCTTTGCTACAGTCATAAAATGTCATGTAACAGAAAATGACGGCCCTGTGACGTTGATGAAGAGCCTGATTGCATGAATGGGCAGAAAAACATCGATATGCGCATGGGTACGCATTTAGGGGTGGTTATTCTACCCAACACCAAGTCTCAACATAAAATTACTGTTAAATTGATTGAAAACACTAATTGATGCTTTGTAACCGTCATATGTCACCAAGTGATATAAATAGGCTGAAAAACACCAGTTTTCGTATAGGTGGTTATTCCATCCACCTGCTGGTCGGTCTAACTTCACTGCACTAAAAGTGGATTCTTTGGTCAAGTAATCAAGGAATCAACTTGCCATCACTACCAGGGACGTTGCTCAGTCCTTTGTGTGCTGAGGCACAGAATTCATTAGGTAACTTACGTAAAAAAGAAAAAATATCAAAGAGAACAGTTACCATAATAAACCCAATCAGTGACAGGAGCGACAGATACTCCACATTGGAAAACATTGTTGACATCCTGCGCCAGAGCCATAGCAGTTGCATAGCCTCCATAACTCCAACCCCAGATAGCAGTCCTTGATTTATCGATGTACGGGAGAGTATTTTGCAAATATCTGCACAAGTTAGAGAATAATTAATATGTTGTCTAATTAACATAATTAATTTCTTCCTGACGCCTCACAATGGAGCAGTCAAGGAGAGGTCGAACAGAATGTGAAAACTTCAAAAGCTTAAAACTTTGTTGAATAGTAACAAGAGAATTTAGCAATAGCTCCAATGTTTTTCTCTTACAATTTCCTTAAAGAATGGCCCCTTAAAATTTACATGTTTACGAAATAAACATGGAAAAGTCCAGTTTCAGACGAAAATTTCATGTCCAACCTCTAAAAATTAATGTGCATCTTGCTTATGGATATTCTCAAATTTCATCTGAGAGGGACATCAACCCAAAAAAACCAAAAGCGGCATGCACATTTTCAGGTGGAAAGCTCTTTTTTAAAAAATCCTAAGTCCATCAGTTTGACACTCTTCAAGAGCGAAGGGTATCAAAGAGTTAGTGCAAGCACCAGTAAGGTTGTCTTAGTTTCTTTCATAACATCATGAGTAAGTATCGCTTTAAGTATTTGTTGTGGTCAAACAATGAGAAAGTCATAGACTGGGCTTTTACTGTGGTTCTGTATGCTTTTTGGACTTTTGATCAAAAATATATTGAATTTTTAGGTTGATATTCCCCTTGAGTGAATTGCTTCAGAAAAACTAATCACATCTTTCTGGCCCGTCAGTTAATTGTGAACCCCTGGTGTAAATTTAAAATCAGTCCAGCATAACTGTAAATCAGAGGATTCTGATAGGCTTCTCAGGATCTTGTGAGAGGAGAGAAAATGTAGTTATAATGTCTGATAATGTAGATTCCCATATTTATTTATGATTTTTTCATTAACTAGCTACTTTCTTACATTTTCTAAGAGGCCAGGATTCAGAATCGGAAGAGATGCAGTATGAGCCAGCTCATTTTGATACCACTCGTGGGGATCAGACACATTCCAAAAACACAAAAATTTACCTGGTGACATTGATTTGATCGAATATTTCCACTGTTCCAAGACGTCTGTAACCGGCGAAAAGCATTTTTTGACCTTTCAAACCAGAGTTGCGACCGTCTATGTGAGCAATAATGACACTCTTGTTGATTGCCAGGTAATGATTCCAGTCCATTTTGAAAGTATCAACCGCCAAGTTTGATTTCGGTCCGCCATATCTGAGAAAACATTAGAGAGAACATAACTTATGATGGTACTTCTTATTATGCGTGACTGCTAGAAAATTTCCAAATAATGCAAAAATTTAAAAAATCTTGTTAAAAAGACTCCAACATGCCCTTTATCATGATTTGTTGATTTATTAGAGGAACTTTAATCATCCAGGCATTCCACAATATTTCTGCATGAATATCAATGGCTAAAGTGTGAAACCACATATCCCTATCGGGATGTTTCAAAATGTTTGCTCCTATTTTAAGTTTTCGAGAGGGAACAAGACAACATTGTAGTTTGAAATTTTTACAGGATATTCTGCTGACAAAGAAGTAAAATCAAGGAGGTTTCCTTGAAATTACGTTAATAAGAAGATAAGTGGTTTTGCAATTTGGCCATCGACATACAGAATAGAACTACAATTTTCACAGAATGACCCATACATCAGAGTGACAAGTCCACACTGAGGTAAAGTAATTGCTGATGTATAAAATTTGATGTAGCTCTGCAAGCCTTTTGAATAAACCAAGTTCTGTTCTGTGATTTTTTGAGGAAAATGCTGCTTGAACCTGTACAGGAACGTCCAATGTCAGTTAATAGGAATTCCACTTAGCTTCATTGTCCAGATTATTTTTCGTCCTGCATGACCGTCCACTACAACGGGTCATGTAATGAAAGTTTCCTTGTAAATCAGTATTTTAAGAAATTTTGTAAAAACTTTAAAATTAATGAATTATAACAACTAGGGAGAGTAAATTAATGAAAAATCAAGCGATAACGTTTTTCAACACCTTGATCGGCGAATTGGAAGTAATGTACAGGGAAAGTTCCATCAAAATATTCCTTAACCAATTGAAAATAAAACTCAAAAATAAAGCCTATTATAGTCTAAAAATATTTTTCGAAGAACCTGTATAATTTCATTTTGCTTAAATTGTTGTATAAATTGTAAATTTGACTTGTGCCAGAGCTTTTTACTATAGGCTGTATGCATCAATAAAATTCTATTTATCTATTCTATCTATCTATAAATTATTACCGTAGATAAAAAATATAGGACATTTTTATTCACCTTACACAGAGATTTGACATCTCAAAGAGAGGCATCTTCCATCGCAATTAAATCAATGAGGGAGTCGACTCGGGTATTCACTCCTTATAAAATCTATCAAATGAAGTTTCGGTCGAGAATAAAATAAACTATGAAATTTACGCAGCTTCTTGTTCTTACATTTTTTTTCGACAAGCTTGAAAAAATTCGGAAATAATCAGCAGAAGAATCAGAATTTAGATACTTACACATGGACTAGAAGAGGGTACTTGGTTTTACCGGAGGTATCGAGATTGGGAGGTAATAGTAATTTCACATATGCTTTCATGTCCGTTCTTTCAATTGGAGCTCTAAGATATTTGACGGTAGGCAGTTTGATTTCTTGCAACTTACGTCTCACTACCTCATTGCTTTCCCACGACGAGAAAAGCCTTCCTTGCTGAAACATCAATGAAAATCCAAAATTAGTTGTGCCAAAAGCAAATTTTATTAACATACTCAAAATTAGTTCAATGGAAGGAAGAATTCCCAAAACCACCACCCTACTTCCTCAAGTTTTGAATATATCTTAGTTCTTCACTTTTACAACTATTATCACTTTGCTCACTAGCAACTTTACCTGTACAAATGTTCATCTGTACAAACAAAAGCAGACCTGAACAGTGAATATTTCGGCGTTTTTACATGCATTATCTAGTGATTATGTTGGTGATTCAGAAGAGCTCCTCTCTCCTTGCTGCCAACTGACCGTAAAGATAAGACAGATACTGCGCAGGTCAACTTCTTTAGAACAAAAGGCTTAGAAAATCCGACACACCAGAGCCGCATCTTTGTATAAAAACACAAGTAAAAATACCAACAAATTTCCTTTTTAGCACTGAATTTCTGAAAACTGGGACGATAATGGTTCAATTTTAAAAGCTGATGATGCTCAAAAATTCATGAGGGGCGTTATATTTAATATCAAAGAAAAGCTGAAATCCAATTCCTTGGTTTCCTGGGCAGGATCTTTACAATAATATAGCTTCAATTTGAATTGAAATTTTAGGGCATTAATCAAGTCAAGAAGTTTATGTAACACTCTATTCGGCATTTCAGCCGATGAATTAATTTAAAGTTTCTTGTCTGTGAGGCTCGCTCTGAATTGTCACATCCGTTCGGTTTTATTTATTTCTCCTCAGTATAAAAGTTGAAACTATCCTCCTCGAGGCGTACGTCCTCATTCCTTGAAGAAAGCAATACTTACAGAAAAGACAGCTGAACCAAAGAAACAGAAAAAGAAGAAGAAAAAACAAAGAAAAAAATATTTAATAATGAAGCATTAAGGCTTAAAGATATTAAGAAAAAAAAAAACTTCAAACTTAAAAATTTGGCGGCGGTTTAAACCTATTAGAAGAGTCTGCTCTATAATTGACGATCACAAACTACTTAATTTTATATTAAATACATTTATATATTGCTGTTATATATAAATTTAAAAATAATATATTTTGTACCTTGTTGTAAATGAAAGCTTCAGCGGGTCCTGGACCGACACATGTTAGAGCAAAGTGAGAGTTTCCTGGGCTCCCTGAAACAACCACGTAAGTACAAGGGCTCCCTGAACTCAACTTCAATTTGCAGGAAAGACACTCAGGAGACTTTGAGCTTGCATCGAGGCCATCAGAGGTAACGAAAAAATGAAGCTGTTCAGGATGCTGTGGAAGCGTTGCCGTGAAATATCTGAGGCAAGACAAAACATTCAATTTATGTTAAAATTCTCTTTTCGAAAAAGTTGAGTAATAGAATAATGTTTCAAATTACTCTTTACTTCATTGTCATTCTGATAGGAAATTTTCCACTACAATCAAAATTAACAAAATGTGTGTAAATGTAACTCCTTTTGAAATTTAATGCCTATTCATGTCATCCTAAACAAAATGTACTGATCCATGAGGCCGAATTATGTCGGTATTTCGCACCGAAATGCAACCCCTGTCGATAAGCTGAAACTTGATGGCCGAAGTGCGAAACTACCAATCTTGGTTTGCGATGTTGCAGACTTCTTATCATACTTGATTTTTTCTTGGAAACCTAGTCATGGTAATTTCTTGAAAAATTCCTTGATTTTTTGACATCAAACACAACAATTTGACATCATTCCTTGAAGTTTATGCAGAATTTTCTTCGCACAGAGAAGAAAAGTAACGGCAGTTTTAAAGAATTGCTGTTGAGTGGTTTTCCATTTAAAAAATAAAGTATGACAGGGTGTCTGCAACGTCGCAAACCGAATTATGTGATTGCCGACTTCCACCGTCAACATAGTTCATTTCATACGCAACTATATTTCATCAGCAATTTGATCAAAGTACATGATTCAAAATATTTTAACTACAAAATTGATAATTTTGATATTGTAAAAATTCATTAATCGAGTGGTAAGGTTTTTTTTAGGTATCTTTTAATTTTCTCAAAAATTATAGTGCTGGATTTCCATCTTCAATGATTGCTTTTAACTCACTTCAGGATATAATTACGTAGGCACACAACCCGATAAGATGATAGCAAGTTTTTTCCAGTCTCCATCTGATGGTTCCTGTCTAAAAACTAAGTCGAGCAGTGGCGTAGCGTGCTTTGCGTTGTATCGATTGATCTGCCATTTAAACCTATGGAAAAGGATCGATAAACAGTGTGTTTGCAACAAACACCTTCATAATGAATTCTTTACCACAGCTGCAAATGGGGAAATATCGATCATGGATCATTCACGCCTCGCCACTAGTGCCGAGTTTTATATCCATGGGAAGGATTTGTGTTTTCCTGATTTATTTCCCCTTGCATTACTGCAACCGTCATCGTCTCATAAATATAGAGAGAATAAACAAATATTATCCAATATTTATTGTAAGTACTGCTTTTTAATTTTATGAGTCCCCAGTCAAGTCTTGAAAGCGACTAGTGTGTAGTGCGTATTACTTCCGCTTCCTTATCTTCTTGGTTCTCGCTAGTTTTTTACTACCGTTTTTTTGTTTTTAAGTTCCTATGTCTTCCAGCTAGTTTTCTATTTTCCTCATTTTTCTAGTCAATTTCTTTGGTTATTTTTGTTTATCCTTTTCTAAGTTTTTGTTAATCTATCTCCGTTCCATGTGGTAAGTCCGTCTTTTCTAACCTCTGTTTCCCGATGACAGCCTAAAAATGTCTGATCCCCCAGTAGATCCAGGGGACCCCCCTGGTATTAACTCCCAAACCCAAAATGCTTCTGTCTCCGTAAGTGCCGATCCTTTAGTTAATGCTACCGAAAGTAGAAAAACGATTATTCTTAAGAAAATTGATGATTTATTGTATCCTGATAACTCAACTGGCCCCTTTGTTATCTCCTTATCTTATGATGGTTTAGGTAACAAACATGCTACCCTTATAGGTGAAGCCCTTTATAGATGTAATATTGTCGGTATTAAGTCCATCAAAAAGATTAACAAAAGTTTAGTCAATATCGAATTTGTGAAACGCGAATATGCTAACAATCTGGTTTCCAATCACAAAACTATTCTCCCCTATGAAAATGCTAGGGTTTTCATTCCCCTCAATTATATTACTCGTAGATTAGTAATCAATGACGTACATACAGACTTAGGCATTGAATCTATAGGCAACTATCTAAAAGATAAGTATGCTAATGTTATCTCAGTTCGACGTATCTTCCGAAGAAATGAGAAAGGTGTTTTAACTCCTACCCCTAAACTCGAACTTCTTTGGGAAGGTACTACCCGTCCTGACTTCTTTTATATCTTCTATTCTCGTTGCAAAGCTACCCCCTATATCTACAACGTTACAACCTGTTCTAACTGTTTAAACTATGGCCATCGTGCTGAATTTAAGGGTATCTTAACTTGTAAAGGTCTTAATCGATGCCCAAACTGCTCAGACCAACATGCTGCGCATGATATTTGCCCTAATACAACCAAATGTCTTCATTGCAAAGGTCC